TCGATGGACTTGTGCGTATGACCGTCTGCCAGGGTGACTTGCGTAGGCTGGGACTTCCTCCGGACACGTGGGCCAAGGCCGGCGCGTACCATGAACTTCTGCAGACAGGGGGTTTATGGCTGCTCCGTTTTGTGACAGACATGCCCATGTGGGTGAACACACCTTACCCGTTGCAGGGACCCTTTGCGAATGCATGAGTGAATGAGGGTTCAGATTCAGGCGTAGTAACTACACTAGAGCCTAGAAGTGCATCTCTGTCTGTGCTTAGTGTCCGCTCAACTTCTGAGAACAGGGGGGTCATCACCGCTCTTTGCTGGTGGACATGTCCGTGCGGGCGTCAGCACCTTGCCTTTCACAAGCGGCACGTTTGTGCTTGCAGAGTAAATATGCTAGAAGTGTATGTTTCTGCTTTGGATCATCACAGCATTGATGTGCGGCGGGGGTTCGTATAAGTGCACCTTTGTGGATGTGTTCGGGTCATCACTATGTGATTCTTATTCATGCTCTATGACAAACCTTTCGGCATTCAGAAAGCTGGAAGAGCATTTTGGGTCCATGGCATTGTTTTCTGGATCTTGTAACTCTTGTTCTTGTTTGATGGATGGCAGTAAGAAGAGGACCACTATCTGAGCCCATGGTGTTATTCGTTCTGTTTTCTATTCACTGCTTGCAGCCCTCCGAAAGGATATTTGTGAGTAGTGTGAAACTTCCAAGTGATTCTATTGTGGAGTTCTTCAATGCCCTTTGTGGGGTATCTGCTGAGGTATGCACTCTTCGACAAAGTGTTTCCCTTGTTCACGAAGCTGCGCTAATATCTCTTGATGCCTTCTTGTCACAATCACTCACTCAGGAGAAGACTTGGAAACGATGCGCAAAACACCATGAACAAATCAATGCTGGCAAGAAGTTCCTTTATGGATGAGTTTTGGAACATGCAGAGGGCTGAGAAGTACATTATGTGTCATACAATGTAAAGCCAGTTTGAAAATAAAAAAGATGTTGCTGCTGGCCATGATTTATCTCTGCAGGCGTGGGTCGATGCCGAGTGGATGATTTCCGGGTCGGGTACAGTTGTGATCTTTTTTGGGTTCCTGGGTGGGTTGGGGCCGGGTTGGAATATCTGAAAAAAACAACTCTGGGTTGGAGAAATTTACGAAATGTGGGTCTGGATTGGGTGTAGTTGGAAGATGTTTGTGGTATTTTATCTGTATAGTAACAAACTGTTTGGTTGTAGAATTCCACTAGAACTCCTCATTCCACTAGAACTCCTCATTCCACTAGAACTCCACACACGAGGCTTGTTCTAACCATTGAATGAGTTCTAATGGAATGAATGGTCTATCCGAAGACCAGGTCTCCCTCTTCTTGTTGTTGTCGATAAAAGATGTATTGGATGTGTGGAGAGAGAGAACCTGCTATGGCAGGGTTGTAGTCAGGCATTGGCTGACTCAGGTGGGAAGGGCCTGTGTTTCCCATGCCAGTCTGGGAGCGGCATGCACACACTGACGTTGATCCAACACCTTTTTGCGTTGCCGCTTGGGTCGTGCAGGAATTAAAAATGAATCCTCCAAGAGTGTACAGTCTTCAGAAATTGGTGGAGATCAGCTACTATAATATGTCTCGTATTCGTTTGGTGAGTGTGTGACACTGTGTGTGTGTGTGTTTGTCAGCTTTAAATAGACTTTAATAAAGCAAATGAATTTCCTGTGACCAAGTGCTCCTGTAGAGTATGACTCACAACCATGCAGGGTAGACAAGCAACTGAGACAGGATGGTTTTTGTGGTGCCCAGTGATCCTTCCCTGCTACCAGAATAACCCCCTGTCAATCCCCTCTTACACAGTGATGCTCATGTGGGCATTCTACAGAACTTCTCTCTCAGGTCATAGAGGACTACATGACAGATTTGTCGATATTCATCCAGCGGACCAGCTGCATGGATTCTGCCTCTGTTGTTGCAAACCAGTCAAATTTCAATATGGTAGTGGCTATTCCTTGATGTGAACCAACGCTATTGGCTTTTCCTTGATGCAAAGTTGCGAACCTATGGTATCGGCTATTCCTTGATGTGAACCTGTGGTATTGGCTATTCCTTGATGCGAACCTCTGGGATTGGCTATTGTTTGATGCAAACCTCCGCTGTTATTTTACAATTTCGTAACATACCTTTTGTAATGAATGTCATTGAATGAGGAATTAATTATGAGGTTGCTGGGGGACAGCTGGGATGGTTTAATTCTCATGATTCAAGTAAACAAGCTAGAAAACAAAAAGGATCACAGATGTGAAGTTACGAGCATGTCTGTCAGACGGGAGCAGCTGGGCTGGCCTGATTTTCACTGCAAGTCACATAACTTGCCGAGCCCTTTGCTGGGGCTGTAGGCAGGTTCACAGCCTGCTCAACGAGCCAGCCAAATCCAAGGTGGCTGTGGGCAGTTCACACAACTTCACAGCCTGCACAGTGAACCAGCAAAATCCCTGCTTGAATTCCAAGGTCCATGAATGAATGATACAAATTGTGTGGTGGTTGCAAATGTTGGCCATGTTCGGGTTAGAATCAACCAGACTGCTGTGCTGCTTACCCCTCCCGCCTGGTCATCCGACCACCCATCCTCCTGCTCCTGCTGCTGCTGCTGCTGCTGCTGCTGCTCCTGCCGTTGCTCTGTCTCCTGTCATTGCTCTTTCTCCTGTCGTTGCTGTTTCCGCCTGGTCATCCGACCGCCGATCCACCTGTCGTTGCTCTTTCTCCTGCTGCTTCTGCTGCTGCTGCTCCTGCTCCTCGTTCCTGTCATCATCATGGTTAACAACCGAAGCCTCTTCTGGAAGATGAATATCCGTGTGACACAATCTCATCACACCCATCAAACTGCCTGCCCACTGCTGAAGTAACCATTTATTGTATTATGTGACTTTTGTCTATAAATCACAATGACAGGGACAAGAAACAGTGCAGTGACGTAAATAGCAATTTGGATGTTGATGGGTTTGCTGGATTGTTTCCTTATTGACAAGAGCCGTTTTTTTTTTCTCTATGGTGCAGGTTTGGGCTCGCATTTGGGCAGTTTTATCCTCACATTTTGTCACAGCAGGTGGACACCCCGATCTGAAGATTTCCATGTATGCTATCGATTCTCTTCGTCAGGTACTGGGGAATATTCTACTCAAGATCATTTGGTTGATGGATTGTTCTGTGTCTTTCTTCTTCGCCTTTTTTTCTTCTCTTTTTTTTTTTGGTTAAAGCTCCTTGTTTATTAAAATTGGAAAGGAGGTGCCGGCCACCCCACATAAAGGATGGGTCTGGGAGCATTGCCCAGTGTTATGCTTTTGACGGGCCCCTGCACGGACCCGGAAGAGGTAACCACCATGGGTTCTAGGCTTCCTTTTGCGGCTCTTAAACCCTAAACCCTATCCTTCCCTACTTGCTCGATACTTTGTACTCTTATCCTGCTTCCTCTTAATCCCCTTACAAGTCAGGTTCCCAGCCGCAGAAAACGTCCCCGTCTGGCAGAGACGGCGGCCCGTACGCCCTACGGTGTGAAACCCGGGATACTCTGGGGTAGCTCACAGGGGGCGAGTGGAGTCATGTTTCGGCTAGACAGTCGATCCACGGATTCACCCATCCATTGTCTGTGACTGGCTTGTCCCTCTACTTGAGCATCTCAGGATTGTTGTCCCATCCATGGTGCTCCCTGCTCCTGCCCGACCAACTGGGGCAGAGCATGTTCCCCTGCAGGGTGCCTATTCGCGCGTTCCCAAGTAGACCGCCGGCAAACTTCTGCCGAATCCGAGGTGCTTTAACCGGATATCTCGCCATCTGCTGTCTGGCGCGTCTCCAGGCTTCCAAGTACTCTGCTTCCACCAAGGCCAAGAAGTGGTTCCATGCCTTCTGCACTGGCTGTCGTTCTCCTTGCATGGTCGCCATGCGACGCCTTTTCCAGATTGTCCACAGAGCGAGGGGACGCACTCTTTGAAACAGTGCACTTTGATATGCCTCGCTTCCCCCTCTCCCTTGTGTGGGCAGGAGAATTTGGGGCGCTTTCGCTGGGAAAGAAGTATCAGTGAGGATGTGCCACCATGCAACCACCCTCTACCACATTTGCTCCGCCTCCGGGCAAGTGAGCAAGCAGTGTGTCATGTCCCCCACGTGACCAGTGTTGCACACACAGGTCGGACTGGGCTGCCCTGTTTTGATCAGCCCTGCGTTCGCTGAGCCACTGCTTGACGGGGGCAATCAGCCATTGCATGCTGCGCACTCGAGTGCTCCGTTTCACAAGGATAGCCGTCCGTGGCACGGCCTGCTGTGCGTCTAGATGAATGCCCACATGCTTACTCCACCTAGTGGCGATGATGTCTGTCAGGGGCGTTGGGCTATTTCTTAACTCATATCCCAGCTTGGTGGGATTGTTCTGTTTCTTGAATTCTTTTGCAAGACATATCTTCCCTTTCGTTGAATGCACAGTTTTCCGATGGATATTCCAAAGCCTGAAGCAAAATAAGCAAGCTCTGTCTTCTTTCTCTTCCCCGGTCGACCATGCGGAGTGAGCTCAGACGCCTGACGTTGACAGGAGTGAGTGGGGGTAATTGCCACTCTTTCAACAGATATGCATTTTGAAGATGAAAGGGGAAGGAGTTCCCCTTAGTTCAGATGACTTCAACGCAGAGTATCAAAGAGAGAAACGAGGAGGAGAATGAGACATGAACATTGCTTTTTCTTGAGGTGTGTGGACTCAGAAGGAGGAAAGGCAGGAGGATGGTGAAGAGGATGAGAGGTAAAAGGATGAGAGGGGGCGAACACATGGGCAGAGAATATGAAGTCACATGGAATAGGAGATAGAGCAGATAAAAGCAAGGAGGTGAGGAAAAAGGATGAGGGGTGGGGAACAAATGGGCAGAGAACATGAACTCACATGGAAGAGGAGATAGAGCAGATAAAAAGCAAGGAGGTGAGGAAAGAGGATGAGGAGGAAGACAGGACACACAGTCGAGAATGCATTCTCGAAAAGCAGCGCTATGCAACTCGGGGATGAGCAATTCCAAAAGATACTTCGATTTACCATGACCAGGTTTATCTCGTAAAACTTTAGTGAACTCTGTTTGCAATCTTCTTGGGGCGTGAAGATGAATAAGAGCTAACGTGGCTTTGAAGTTTGAACGCACGAAATACTGTTAGGTTACCAATTTCATAAAGCAGAATCACTCACTGGCACACTAAATTTCTGTGTCTTCTGTAACAGTTCTTTTTGCAGGGTGTTAGCTCGACGACCCTTGATTGTTTTTGCTAATCAGTTCTCTAACTTCTCTCTGTTTTGTTCTCCCTCTCTACCACAAATGTCTACAGCTTGCTATCAAGTATTTGGAGCGTGCAGAGCTGGCAAACTTCACTTTTCAGGTGAGAAGACGAGTTCAATACCTGATGTTCACTGTTGGCTCACTGAGAAGAGCAATCTTCCCTGAAAAGTGGAAACCTTTCACGGAGTTCCATCCTTTTTGGGTTTATGACCATCTGTCCGATTGTCCCCTTTCAACTGCTCAGTTTGCTGACAGAGTGCGGGCAGGTTGGCTCCCTTTGGTGTGTTTTGAACTTCGTTGTGCTTATTTGCTGTACCATCTGAATGGACTCATCCTGACAGCTTGGAAATCACACTCCCAACACCGCAGATGCAAGGAAAATGAGCAATAGCGAGATGACAATGTTCAGAATGCACAGTCACATTGAAGGCCAGATAGTATCACAGTGTCCAGAAAGCAGAAATGCACCAATATAACACCAATGAAGAATCGTAACACTGAAAACCAATGTCAATGAGAGCKTGCTCTCGACACCACCAACATGAGTGTGCAGGCCCTATCTCCCTACTTGGCGCTCGGCGCCCAGCCTACTTCCTATACAGCTACAGTCTGCCTACTAATTGACAATGCAACTGTTGACGTCAGCAGCCCACGAAGTACGTGAAGATGTCGCCCAATGCAGACCATCGCCAATACAGGTATGTGCCCTCACATCATCATCATCATCATCCTTCTCTCTCTCTCCTGACTTACTCTCACGTCTTCCCTCTGCGCAACCAAAGACCACCCCTGCGCCTCACTGTAGTCCAAGAGCATCCAGCTATGGTGGCAGGGCTATGGCGCTGCCCTCAGCAGCGCCCTGCTCCCTGCACGACCGCACGCGCTAGCACCTTGCCTCTCAGCGCCAGCAGCAGCCCATGAGATTCCGCTCCAGCAACGCTGCCGCCAGCATGGAAGTGATGAATGAGGCTCCAGGCAGCGAGCTCTTTCCTATTTGGAAAGAGCTTGCCTGCCTTTGCAGCCTGGCTGGCCGGGGCTTGGGCCCAGAAGCTTCCGGTAGGGCCCAGGATGCTGCGCCTCTGTTGCAGCTACTGGGCCTCATTTGGTTGGGCCTCCCAACTGTTTGTGTATGCGCCTGCGATTCTCGTCCAGGGCCTGCATCATTTCGGAAAGGCCTGGAAGGCCGTGGAAAGTCTCGCTGCTCGGCCTGTGTTTCCCCCAACCAACTGGGGCGACGAAACTGCCTGGACCCCAAATACGAAATTGATAGCTTAGGGCCTTTCGTGATTTGTTAGGCCCGCCTTCACTTAGGGCGAGCACATCTGCAGCAAGAGGCCCCTTAGGCCTGCCGAGGACCCAGATCCTCGCATTCCCCCCTCCTTTTCTTCGATAGTCCTCTGTGAAGTCTTTTAATCTGCAGGCATCTTCCCCTTGAGTTCTCTTTCATAGCCTGCAATAACTTGAAGTGCTGTTCGCATGAGTTCTTCTCTGGTGAACCACCAATCTTTGCTGGGATCCAGATGATGCCTGAATCTGACACGGTGTTGCATTCTTGGTTTAGGAGGGAGGCTCTGCCCGGCGGTTTAGGTACTGGCATCACTCGATGCTCCACAATTCTGTTGATGTCAACTTCACAATCCATGGTTGGGGGCAGCATTGACCGTCTGGAAGGAAACTGTGCAGTTTCTGCGAAAGGTGCCAGCTTTGAGGCGTGAAAAACTGGGTGTGTGTGTAAGTGAGGTGGGATGTGAATCACATAGGAAGGTCCGTCTATTTGATCCCCGACTATGTCTAGGACCTCTCAAGGACCAAAGTACTGTGGCATCAGTTTGCGAGATATGCCCAGCTCTTGACCCAGTTCAGATGATTTGACCCAGATTCTGTCACTTACCTGAAAATTAGAGGGCCATCTATGCTTATTCTCAGATGCAATCATAGCACCCTGAGTTTTCCTTATATGCTTGACGGCTTGCTGCAGCATCTGGTCGTACTTGACAGCGAACTCTATGCTGCCAGGTGCTGCAGTGGACTGTCTTTCTGGTAGCAGAAAGTCAAGTGCAGTCTTGGGCTTTCAACCAAGGTGCACTTGCTTGGGAGTCATACCAGTAGTACTGTGCACAGTATTGTTGTACAGGCTGGCGACAAGAGGTAACTTCTCATCCCAGTGGTCTTGACTTGGCTTAATATAATGCGGAAGCAGGTGCTGTACTACTCGGTTCATTTGTTCTGCCTGGCCATTTCACTCAGGGTGGTTCCCTGACGTCATTTGTAGCTTGGTGCCCATCTGCTCAGCTGTTGACTGCCACAGCTCGCTGGTAAATCTTACATCCTTATTGCTTACTATCAATGTAGGGAGTCCAAAATCCCGAACCCAGTTATACAGAAACAGTTTGATGATATAGTCCGTTTTAGCAGTCTCTAGCATATCGATAAGTCTTTTATACTTGGAAAAGTGGTCCACTATAACGAAGATATGTCTCTTGTTTGTCCTGCTGGTCACAAGAGTATCCATGAAGTCAATGGACACACTCTGACCAGGACTTTCAGGAATCAGCAAGTGCTTGAGAAGCCCTAGCGGAGTCTGAGTCCTAGGTTTGGCCCGTTGACAAACCTGGCAGGTTTCTACGTACCTTTTCGCATCCTGCATCATAGAGGGGCCACCAAAATCTCTGCACTAAGATAGCTGAAGTCTTCTTATAACCAAAATGACCAGTTCCATCATGACATTCTCCTGAAAATAAACTACGCAAAGACTCTCTATTCGGAACACACGGTCTTTTATTCCTTGCCTTCGAAAGAAACAGTAAGCCATCTACCGTCGTAAATTCGTCGGAGGTTACCTTATCCTTCGCTTGAAATCTATGAATGATCTCAGACATGACTGGATCTTGCTGATAGGCCTCCACCAATGATCGAGTTAGATTGTTAGATATGCCAAATGCAGTCACTAGTGCGCCCAGATAGTCTGCCCGACGTGATAGTGCATCAGCTATTTTGTTGTACTCTCCCTTGATTGGATCAAGTTGATAGTCATACATGTCTATCATTTGAACCCACTGCTTGAGTTCGTCAGAAAGTACAGGCTGTGTCTTGACCCAGCGCAAGGTCTAATGGTCAGATCTCACATAGAAGAATCTGCCTAGGATATAGTGTCTCCAGTGGACCAGCACTCGGAACGGGGCATAGAGCTCACGCTCGTGAGTAGATCTGGCTAGTTTCTGAGATGGCATCTTTTTACTCATATGCTCGATTGGTCTCAACTTTGGCCCCTCCTTTTGCGCAAGGACCGCGCCTATGCCATATTGGCTGGCGTCTGTGGTCACAACAAATGGCTTATCAAAATCCAGAAGTTTGAGGACCTCATGGTGTGTCAGAGCATACTTCAATTTCTTGAAGTTTGCCTCACACTCTTCAGTTCACTCCCAAGGGGTGTTAAGTCGAGTTAGATCTGTTAAACCGCCAGTACCTTTGTAGGGACTGTGCCGAACCAGTCCGCGGCCAGTTACCGAGGCTGTGTTGGGGTTGCCATAAAAAAAAAAAAAGTCGAGGGAAGGGTGGACGCTCCCATTGGCAGCAGACCAGTAGTTGGACGGAATGTGCATGAAACGCAAGCATGGCGAGAAAAAAAAAAAAAAAAAAAAAAAAAAAAAAAAAAAAGAAACAAAACAAAACGCGCCCGACAGGCTGCTCACCGTAGACCACGCTTCCCTCCTGACCCGACTCATTCTCCCGATTCACAAAACGAGAATGAATCAGGTTGGCGAAGCCACACTCTGACTGTTACCACGGGCCTCCTGTGGATACTATCGAAATGTGCAACATGAGACTGAATCCTCCGCTAGAACATGGAAAGATACATTGCCATTTTTTTTTGCCACTTGTGCATGTCGATAATAGTGGAGTGAGGCCCTGCGGCGCGATTGGAGAGCCAGCTGTCAGCGACAACGGGGGGCACATTGTTAGCACCGTATCTGCTGCCCGTATCTGATGCCCGTATTTCTTTTTTTTTTTTTTTGCCCGATTGCCTGTATTCCTTTTCGTCTTCTTTTTTTTTCCGACACTTTCACTATTTCAAGTGCTCAGCGTGCACCTCTACAGTCCTACTAAAGATAAGGATATCGTCGAGGTACACAACGATGAACTTGTCTAACTAATCATGAAATATCCAATTATAGCATGCTGGGATGTCCCAGTAGCATTGCATAGGCCAAAGGGCATCACCACAAACTCGTACAGACCATACCTGGTCTGAAAAGCGGTTTTGTGCTGGTCCTCTGGTCTAATAGCAATTTGATGGTATTCGGACTTTAGATCTATCTTAGTAAAGTATTGGCATCCCTGCACTCTGTCCAATAGGTCGTCGATGCGGGGTAGTGGCTCTGCGTTCTTTACGGTGATGGCATTGAGGCCCCTATAGTCAATGCACATCCTCAGTGTACCTCCCTTCTTAGGAACAAATAAGACTGGCGCACCGTAAGGGAGGTACTAGGCTGAATCCATCCCTTCTCTGTGAGCTCTTTGAGCTGGCGGCGGAGCTCATCCAACTCCGTGGGAGACATCCTATAGATGCATCCTCTAGGTACCTTACTACCGGGGACAACCCCTATTGCATGGACCACCTCCCTTTCAACCACTCCTGTGGGCTCCTCAAAAAGGTCAGGATACTGAGCGACGACTGATTCTATCTCTCGGGGTGTTTTTACGACCTCCTCACGATTCTGCTTACAATAGTTATAGAAAGAGGAGGCACACATGCAGCCGTAGTTCTCCACTAGACTGCTGGCTTTAAACTTCTGCAGTCTAACGATTCTACCGTTTGGCAGCTTGTGTATGCCAATCAAACTGAGGCTGAGCAACCTCGAGGTAGTACATGCCTAGCAACATATCAAAGGGCAGTTCGTCGCTAACGAGGAATGAGATTTCGTGTCTCAGTTCCACTCCTCCATAAGAGAAAGAATAGACTAGGTCTTTGACGTAGTCTTTAACTACCATTTGGTGCTTGTTGGTTAGCATAGAAGCTACAACTTTGCTAAGTCGCTGCACTTGGTCCCCTAAGCGCAGTCTGTCCACACAAGCATGACTAATGAAATTTCGTGTAGA